CAAAAAAAACAAAAAAAAAAAAACCCTCGTTCGCAACAATAACGTCCGCGGCAGACGTTATTGTTTGCTTTTTATACGATTTTTTTAACTTTCCGCTACATTATTTGCAAACCAACGGTTTACCGCGATGACAGGTGTATTATTATTATATGCGCGTTTGGTTTGAAAAATATTACACACGCTGCAGGTTCGCGGGTTATTTATCCGGCGTTTTCGGGATATTATACGCGTAATACCGTGTAAAAACAAAACCGTTCCCATAATCGTAACAATAAATTCTTCGTTCGCTTTCAAATGCAATGCGTTCTTGATGTCTTTACTGCGGGCGATTATATCGACGTGTTAAATTATCCTATGACTTTGGAGTAAAACACAATAACGCGAATAAACTCTAAAATAATACATTGATTGTTTTATTTACTATATAAAATAAACTAACGCATTTTAAATCGCTATCAAACGGTTATTTTTTATTTTTATTTTTTTTTTTTTTTTTTGAAAAAAATAAAGCCCCTAAAATAGGCAGTTTAACATATAGAAAAAAAAAATTATATTATAAACTTATAAAAGAATCTTGAATTGTTTTAGATTTTCAAAATTCCCGGATTGTAAAACTAAAATAAAGTTTTTCAATATAATAGGTAATATATAATATGGTGTTTGACAATTCGTTTAAGTTTTGTAATCAACGCATTTGAACTAGGTGCATTGTGAAAATTTCACCGCATAGCTGATGTACAGAGTAAAATGCTGAAACCTAGAGTTTGTGATTTTTTTTGAAAACAAGGATATCTGCAATTTTGAGCGGTCACAAATTGCCGGTACATTGCAGTACATCCGCCAACTCGTGTGGATTCAGGACCACATTTTAGTCTATTTAATTCAATATCGCCAACCGCTCTCAAGAAAAAAAAAAAATAAAAAAAAAAAAATCATGAAAAAACACGTCATCATGTCACCCCGTGATGAGAACACTGCCCCGGTGGTACGAACAATTATCGTGTTTCGGAGCGATTTCCCGGAGCCGAACTCAAAATTTAACACACACGTTCTTCATACCATTTATCAGATGATTATCTATCGAATAAAAAAAAACAAATCAATTACGCGTGGTATAATCAAAATCAACAAAAAATCTGTAACAATTTTATCCGGGTACCTATACATTTCAAATTATATTTCGGAAAGCAGTTGTTTTTTTTCCACTTCTAAAAATTGAAAATTGAAATCTGTATAAATTGAATTTTAGCGATTTTTATTTATTTTACAGTAATATTATAATGTACTAAATCATCGTGAAGCAAGAAAAAATAAATGTAAATATATATATATACAGAAATATATATTGCTACCGGCAACGGAATGGTCGGTGACGAAGTCGACCCGCGGCCTCCACCTGGGCAAAACAGCGGCGGGCGCCATGATTAGTTTTTTGGTGAACTTGTTCGGGTCGAGTATATTCTCGACGGAAAACGCTAGCCGGCCCTTATTGGTGCAGGACGCGCCGCTACTCGTCTCGTAATCGTTGGCGGCCATCGTGTCCATCGGGACGGTGGCTGCCGTGCTGCCGGCCTTATTGCTGCAGTTGTCTTGCTGGCGGTGCAGCAGCGCTGCGCCGCCGTGCAACCGGTTGTTGGTGAGGTCCACCGGGTCTTCGTCCACGTTCAGCTCGTCGTCCTCGTCGGACGTCTGCAGCCTGTCGTCGGGCTCGGGCGGCGCGGCCTGCACGGTGACTACTGTCGCGGTGCACGTTCCGGCGGTTTGCACGGCGGCGGCTGTGGTGCAGGAGGGCGGCGACGGCTGATAGTGCGCCGTTGTCTGTTCGTTTCCGGCCGTCTCCTTGTCTGCAGCCATTGACGTCACGGCCACGGCCTGCACGGCGGCGGCGGCCGGTTTCGAGAATGGGCTGGCCGAGTGGTGACGGATACCGTTCAGCCTCGTGTCGTCCGCAGCGTACCCGTTGTTGTTTTTGTTGTTGTTCTGGAGCAAACGCTGCATCATCATCATGGTCATCATTGCGTTTCCGGTGGCCTTGTGTAATTATAATTATTGCATTTTAACGCGGCCGTCCGTAAGGCGCATTTATACAATATTGTTGTGCCGGACAGCGATGCTTATTGTAACGCGAAACGTAGGCGAATTCCTCGCGAACGGCGCACGTAAAACCGTTTACACCGGAGAGTGACACGAAAATATCGGACTGTTCGCGCGTACGGCACGGATCAACACGTGAGTAGTAATAAACGTCGCGCGTAGCGTGCCGGTCGGTGTGCCGCGCGTATATTACTCGGCAGGGTCTGGCGGCGGCTGCTGCAGCCGAGACGACCTCGGCGGCGGCGGCGTTGGGTAGGGACGGCGGCCGTGCCGCTCTGTGCGTGCACCGGCCCAATTGGCGAGTGAACAATTTGTAGGCGTGGCCGGTAGTCGGCGGGTTTCCCCCCCCACCGCCTCCCGTCACCGTACACTCCGCCGCACCACCACACAGTGGGGCGAATGGCATAGAAAGCTGGCAAAAATAGCATTTATCCAATTTACTTATCTTATCAAATTATTATATATATCAATATAGGAGTTCATACTGCATTGGAAACCGGGTTTATGCACGTGATTTGGCTTAAATTTATTTAGTTACAGCAGTCGTAATATAAGCCCGCCGTATAATTCATTATTAAATCAATCAATATAATTTTGAAAATTTAATTTTTTTTTTTATAACTTACCGATTTTTTGTCTATTGAACTCAATTTATCATGGAACCACTAGCAACAGATGATAATTATAATAACGAAGATGACGAT